ATATCCCGATGAAGTCCTGCTGAGACAGGAACATGAGATTATCAATGGCGCGAGCTGTAAAGCGTGTATTGATAGATGTATTTGAGTGGGTTAGAGAGGGAAAGAGAAAGCAGGATGTGTTAGATGATGAACTGCAGAGAACATTTGGTGCAAAGTGTGTTTATGTGGGGGAATCAGGGAGTGTTGTCACACATTTTGCTTCAAAGTCTGAAACTCAGTGTTTGTGCTGTGTGTCAGCCCTTTATATAATGTTTTCATATTTATCTTCTATAAATGAATTAAATCTATAATTTATCCCTAAATTGCGTACATTAATGTCAAGTACAAAGAGTGCTGTTATGACCTACAACACCATGATTGGTTTTTAACACTGAAAACATGGACAATTTAAACATGTTTTATTGTAATATCCTCAGAACCTGCAAAATCGCCTCAGATTTGATTGTGTACATCAATTTTTTATAATAAAATTCTGTACTGTTTTGTCTAAATTACATTTTTAGTTCGGGGTCAGAAAGTTGCTTTTTTTTTTTTCTTTCTTTTTCTTTTATTTCAACTTTGTGTTCTGAGTTTTTTAAGAATGCTGAAAAAATGTATCATGGTTTCCACAAAAAATGTTATAAAGTAAGAAACACTGATAATAAGAAATGGCTCTTAAGCAGCAAATCAGCATATTAGAATGATTTTTCAAGGAAATGCTGAAAATTCAGCTTTGCCATCACAGGAATAAATGACATTTTATAATAAATGCAAATAAAAAAACAGTAATTTTATTTCACAATTTTACTGTTTTCCTATATTTTTGATCAAATAAATACAGCTTTGATAAGCATAAGAGACTTTCAAAAACATTAAAAATCCCACCAACCCCAAACTTTTGAACACTAGTGTGTGTGTGTGTATATATATATATATAGTGTTGACCAACACAAATAAATATATTAATATGAATTTAGTAATAAATTAATATTTCTTTAATATTGGCCAGTATGATGTTTTCAGATTTGTCTCATTGATTATATTTTTAAATGATAAAACTATATCATTCTGATAGATTTGGTATTTGACATCATTGCACTGAACTGTTGGGATTGAAAGGCGCAGTGCTTTCCATCCCCCATCATCACCCCTCATAACACTAAAACAGTGGGGTGTAAGAATTATCCCTAATGTCAAATGCACTGCTAAACTCTGGACTGACCAAAGGACATTCAGTGACAGTGGCAATAATATTATGTCAAGTTGAAGATGGTTGAGCAAGAACTTGGAGGTTATGTAAAAGCCTTGTTACTTATTGAGAGCTGGAATATACAGCTGACTCACACTAGCCCTTATTCTGTGTTTTGAAGATTCAGATGGTCGTGGTCGATTGTCACGGCCTTGGAAAACAGATGCGTTCAAGCTGCAAAGGATCCCTGAATCCATTATTCTGTCTGTCAGGACTGGCTCTCATGTTTTGAGGAAAAAGCATTTGTCACGTCTCCTATCTGTTTCTCTCGCTCAACCCCTCCTCGCTTTTTTATTGCCCGTGACACAGCTGTCGCCTCAGACGTGGCAGAATCGTACGCTTTAATGTGTGCATGGAGACAAATTGCTGATCACAAACTCACTCAAGTGCAAAAATAAAAGCTAAAATAAAATTCTAGCTCTAGTATAATGTCATTATCTTCTCCTTTTGCATGAAGAATGATGATGCATAAGGCTATGAAAATGTAAATATATGTATAAATGCAGTATGTATGTATGCATGTATGTATGAATTATGCATCAAGGATGCTTTCAATCGATCAAAAGTGAGAAGTATTTATAGTTTAAATCTATTTATAGATTTATAGTTTAAATAAATGCTGTTCTTTTGAACTTTCTACTCATCTGAGCTTTTTAAGAATCCTGAAAAAATATCAGCACAACACTGACAATAAGAAATGTTTTTTGAGCAGCAAATCAGCATATTAGAATGATTTCTGAAGGAACATGTGACACTGAAGACTGGAGTAATGATGTGCTGAAAATTCAGCTTTGCCATCATAGGAATAAAGTAGATTTTAAAATATAATAAAATAAAAAATATTTATTAAAATAAATAAAGTAGATCTAAATTGTAATAAAAATTGTAAACTGTATTATTTTCAAATATTTCTAATATATAATACACAGCTGGTGCTTAAGATGTGGCAGAATTGCAATGCAAATTGCCGATCATTTAAAAAGGGAAAAAAAAAAGGCCAATATAACTTTTTCTGGCACTTTGAGTATATGAATATGTATAAAACTATGAAATCATGTATATGCTTGTAATTATTGTGAATCACCTGCACTGTTATTCCAAGTTCAGAAGAACAATCCCACCTCAGACTGGGCCATGACTGGGTCAATTAATAAATCAAAGCAGGCCTTCCCTCCGGGGTTATCCAAGAAATTTGCACCAGGCTTTACAGCCTCTGCCCCTCCCTTCAGGGGGTGGACTAAATGACCCCCAGCAACAGTGAAATATGACCGGAGGGCTGCTGCCAGCTCCAGCGGGATCACTTCTGACATCCAAGAGCTGTGCCACCATAAATCTAACTTCTTTATTATTCTCTCTCACTCTCTGTTCGCAATACTATTCCTCTCTTACCTCTTTTTTCTGTTCCATACATATTTACCGTATTTATTTTCTCTTTCTGATTTATTGTTCCCATTAGCCAAGGCATGACAATACACACTGCACTCACATGCATATGCACTCAAATGAGCCCTTCATGAACTGTTTCAGCTCAATTACACACACTTGCTTACCAAATGTTTCCATTACAGTGGCACGATTTAGTTAAGTGTGCAAATTGCTCACAACGATGTGTTGTAATTTTTCCTGGAGCAGACAAAGGACGAGCCAAACACTAATAAAAGGCCATTTCAAAATCAAGTCTAACATTGTGTAGCACATTCATCACATCTGCGTTCTCTGTGGGCTCTGTAAAACAGATGAGAGAAATAAATTGTTAGCTTTCTGCTTATGGTGTGTAGAAATATATGCGCTACTGTAAATAAACCTAACTGAAAAGCTTTTGAACAATTATAGGCTACACGTACTGCCTTTGGCTTACTCTGTTTATGCTGTATGCTATAAATTCTTATAAGATATATTACTTCATCATGATATGAGCCAGTGAGATAGGAAGCTGATGATGTAATTCCTGTTGACTTTAGGGCTTGAGAACTTTGCCTTCAGCTGCAATGACTAGGATGACTAAATCACATTGCTATCTTAAAGAGTGTTCACACCAGGGTTATTGTTAACTAAAACTGAAACCATGAAAAAAAGGTCATGACTTGAAATAAACATGAATTGAATAAAATATAAAATATATATATATTTTTAAAATTCTCATTTAGTTGAATTTTAAGTACTATAATAACTAAAACAAAAAAAACTAAAACTTCATGAAAACCATTTAGAACTAAAAGAACTAAAAACATGACAAAAACAATAACGAAACAAAATTACCGAAACTTTAAAATGAAAACAGAAAATATAAATATAAAATCTAATTCAAAATATGAACAAAAATATAACAGTATCATAAAAATGAACAATTCGCCATCATTTCATTCCAAACATTTTGTGAAACACAAAAGAAGATATTTCGAAGAATGTTCGAAGAACTGTTTTTGTTTGTTTAATGAAATTCAAAGTGGGTTTAATGTGGTTTTGAGACAAGTTCAGAAACATTTAATATTTTTCCTTTGTGCTCCAGAGAAGTAACACAGGTATCATATAGGTCTGGAACAACATGAGGGTGACTAAATGATGCCATAATTTTCATTTTTGGGTGAAATCATCCTTTTAACACAGAAGTCACCAAATAAAAATGTAACATGAGTTGAACATCTACGTGGAAAACTTTTCGCCCTCACGCAAAACTTCGCCAAACCTTCACCTTTATTCACAAATCACTGAAACATTCCTTAGATCCTCAAACCTTAAAGTAAAGGCTTCTTTTTGTAGAATGAAACCCACTTTTGTGCATGCACTGAAGCAGTGGGTTATTCAAGAATGGGTGTTTTTAAAATGGAAAACATTTCCTGTTTTATAAACCATGAGGTATTTGACCATAATCATGTAACAAGGACGCATTTGATCTGATTTGACCCACTATGCCAGCCTTGGGGGCTTGTGTCTGATGAACAAGAGGGGCTGTGTGTCTCTTGCACGGTTTACACACCAGTGATGTAACGGGTCGACCTTCCAACAACCTCACCTCCGTGTTAACCTTTGTGTGTGCCAGTGTGCATGTGGAAGGTAGTGGAAAATTGACCTTTGAGCCACAAGCTGGAGGAGAGATGCAAAACTATGGTAAATAATACTCTAAAGGTTTCAAGGGGATGTGAGAGAATGTGTTTGAGAGCAATAATATTTACCTCATGGTATTATAATATGAATATTGCCTGTATATATATATATATTTTTTTTTTTTTACAGATATATTAACCAGTATGCATTATGCAAGGTTAAATGTTTCAAAGAATAGTATGCTATATTGTTGTCACAAGATGTAATTATGTGCATATTTAAGTTATGATCTCTGAAATAATTTGTTTTATATTTCTTGCAGTTCTGAATATGGAAAGTGAAGTTGAGCAGGTTGAACTGTGGGGTATAGTATTCCTTGCATTGTTCTCTGTTACTGCACATTTTGGCAATTAGATAACCTGGGTGTTCTATGCAGGCAGATAACCATACTATATACATGCATACTATATACTGCATAAATAGTAAGCGTAGTATATAAGTGTGCTATTGACAACATACTCGAGGTTCATCTGGTGAAATTTGATCTCTCTTTCCATTTAAACCTGCTGCTACTAGAGGAAAGTTTTTAAAAATCCCCCTGCAGTGACTCCCGTCATTTGTGACACTATATGATGCAGGCGGAGATTGTAAACAAACTAATCGTCAATGAACAACGTTACCCACTACGTATAGACTAAATCAGCTTTATAAATACATTTTGCTTATTTATGACGATCAAAACTGCAGCTTTTCAGTTGTTGTTTATCTAACATTTCGTAAGGACGAAGCCTGAGCTCAAAACGGTTGATGCATTTTTCTAGCTGAGCGTTTTGAAAATCCTCCCTCCCGACTACACGTCCTCTGCAGTGTCCCATAGTATCCACAGGGCTCGTCATGGCGCTCGGACGCAGGAGCTCGCTTCTCCTGTTTTTCTTCGCTTTCTTCTAAATTGAATCTACCTGAATCTCTCGGACTCGGATTTTTTTTTTCTTTTTTTCGCTGTTTCGACTGAACGACTCACGAGCGATGATCTTTTCCTTGCTGAGGTATACGGGTCTGAACATATAAACTTGTGTCCAACTGGGCGATCAAGATTTCAGGATCCCTTTTCCAGGACGAATTCCCTAGTTCGAGGAACTCGGGGAAAGAAACTGTTCTGGAAGAAGAGGAGGAGTGAGAAGGGGCCCTTATTTAAGGTAGCTTTTTTTGTGTTCTCACAAATATCACCGCAATAAAATTTAATTTAAACATCGAATCAAAGTTTGTGAAGCTACATGGTTACTTACAATCAACGTGAACACGAGTTACAGACAGACGCGTATATAAAAGCGTCTGACCTTCACTGTTTATTGTGACATCGCGTACGACACTTTATACGCTTTTTATTTTAATTGTGTCGTGGCTAGTTTTCAAAACACGATTGGTGATGGGTTAGTTAGTTTCAGGAGTTATTTAAACAGACTCACATACTGCAATGTAAGGTCGATATATTTGTACCGGTACTCGGAAACAATGTGGCTAATGTTGGCTTTGTAGTTATTAAATACAAGGTTGTTGGTTTTATTCAGGACTTAAACGACAGAGAGGGCGAGGTTGAGTGTTTGCACTGAAGGTTTAAAGGGATAGTTCACCCAAAACTGTAAATTCCACATCATTCACCTTAATTTTGTTATAAACCTATATGCATTTCACAAAAGAGATGCTAGGGACTGACAGCCTCAGTCACCATTCACTATCACTGCATTTCCTGCCTTACAATATAGGTGAACAGTGACTGAGGCTGTCAATTTGCTTAACATTATCTTTTGTATTTTGGGGTGAACTTACCCTTTATTTATGTTAACTACATTTCTTTGATTTATAACGTTTCTGTACACAATACTTTGGTTCAGATCAATGCGCTAGTACCATAAAGATGTTTGACTTTGCAGTTAGTTTTTATTTATTCTCTATTCATTGTTCTGCTTGCCTTTATATATCCTCGTCTTTTGATTGGGAACGTGGTAGTCAATAACCGGTAACGTAATGATAGTGCATGAGGCTCGAGGAGGGACAGGACTGGCGAGAGCACTACAACCTCGTTTTGGGCGCATATTTGCAGTTTAGACTCGAAGGCTCTTCTTGCCAACTGACCAAACGTGACGGTAAACTCTCTTTAGTTGTTTCAGCGTTATTCCTGTTGCCAGGTCCGTCTGGCACTGTGTTTTGTATGTCTGGGACTAGAGAACAGAAAATACTGAACTCCAATGATTTTCATACCGTTCAGTTCCATCTCGAACGTGCATTTTTCTGCAAAGGCGGACGGAATACCGTACTAAAACAATCAAGTTGTGTGCTAAATGACCTGCTGTACATTATGCGCTTAGACTGCACTATGTACTCTTCCATCCAGTCTATGAATTTTATAATTGTATAAAGTGTAAGGAAAGCGGCGACAGTTGAGTTCATGGTGTCCAACATTCCACACTTTGTTTTTGGGTTATCATCCCGGTATTTCAAGTGCACTTTTTCTTCTTGGAATGAACACAGTACACGCACTATGCATACTTCAGTATGGCAGAGTGAATAACTGCGTGAATTGAGAAGCATCAAGCATACAGCGTGACCAGTGTTGTCTGATTCCCGAATGAATGATTCTTAAATCGTTAAGAGGAAGCAAAATCTGAACCAGAATCATTAAATTCATTATAGCCTAATTCCCATTCCAATTGGTATGGTTGTAGCTATTGTCTGCTCCAGTTCATAGTGTTTCTGCTGTTTGTCCCAAGTTTACTGTGCATTTAAAAAAAAACAATTTAGATCTTTTTGAAGATTCTGGATTTTGAGAGTCAGTTTTCTTGAGAAACTCTCTTGAACATCCTCGTTGCATGCTCATGTGCCTGCTATTGAAACCATCAAATGTCACGTGTAATGCTCTATAAGACAGAAGTGTCATATGATATATTTTTCTTTGATTCTTTACAGTGAATGCTAGAGACATGATCATGACTGCGGCATGGGAGTGACGTGACATCAGGATTGGACTTTCCCTCCAAACAACCTTATATCCACACACTCACATCATGCGCTTCTCTCTTTGGAGAGGCAAAACTGACTGAATGAACGTCTATGCTGAGAAAGATTGTGGGAGTGTGAAAATGGACGAGTCTGCGCTCCTGGACCTGTTGGAGTGTCCGGTGTGCTTGGAACGTCTGGATGCTACGGCGAAGGTGTTGCCATGCCAGCACACGTTTTGTCGGCGCTGCCTGCTTGGAATTGTGGGGTCGCGTGGAGAACTGCGCTGCCCAGAGTGCCGCACGCTAGTGGAGAGTGGCGTGGATGAGTTGCCTAGCAACATCCTCTTGGTACGGCTACTGGACGGTATCAAGCAGAGACCGAGGAGGACAGGAAGCGTGCATGGCACATGTACTAATGGATCTGCAGTGGCAGGAGTCCGATCACAGGGTGCTGGAGGAGGCCAGAGGGATCCAGGTCCCACAGGGGCACCGTCTCAGAGGGTCCAGGCCAAGAGCACTCCAGTTAGGGTGAGTGCCATAAATCAGACAGATCTGGTCAGACACAATTAACATCTGTTTTTACATGCAGAAAAACTATGTGATGGATTTCTGTTAGCCTGATGGTTATATAGCGGTGGAGAACTGTTCGTCTGGTAATGGTCAGGCCATGGCATGATATAAAAAGAAGAATAATTTCTGAATTAATTAGGTGTTTAGGGAATTTAAAATATGCTTTTTTCTCGTTTGCTCTGTCATCTGTATCATTATTTTGGTAAATGTTTTTGTTTAGGAGTCTTAATTCACATTCAGGAAGATGATACAGGGAGGAACGTTTCTTGTAGTTTAAAAAACATTTTCTGTGATGTTGGAACATTTAATTTATATGCACTTTTAAAAGTGCGATTTCAGTCAGACTAAAGCAATAATTCAAATTTTTTTATATGTCATGTAAACACTAGTTTTTTTTATGTCTGACTAACAGATCGTCTAGCATGTATATGCGTTAATTTGGACTACAAATGGTCTCACGCTTTGTTCATGCCATTGTAGCATGATTATGCAAAAGGCTGCTATAGCTCAATTTAAACAGCACATGCACATTTTTTATTTAAATTAGATTTTGTAATTTCAACATTTAAAGCAAAAACAGAATGGCCCGTCTTTAGCTTTGTGAAATTATGCTACATAAAACAAATCTGAACAAAACAACACAGCGGACGGGCTGAATGCAAATGCAAATTCACTCTCTGACAGCAGGCTCTTATGGAACAGCAGCGATACAGTGTTTCCTTGGTTACCACTGTACACAAAGCATCGAAACTTTTCAAGACGGTCAGTACCCTTCAGAAATTCATATAAACCCCCACCCCGATATTTATATTTTTCTTCCAATATTTTGAGCATCATGAACAGTGAGCTTGCTGTGCCTGTACAGTATGTTCTCTGTGCGCGTCTGTTAATTGCAGGCCCTGCTTATACTTTGAAAACAGGTTTACAAACGCATCTCATTACAAATCGAGTGAAATACTGTAATCATTTGAAAACACTGAATCACGAGCTGATCGTGTGCTCTATAAAAAGTGTGCGTGTCGCTTTGAAGCACACAGTGCAAACAAGCTTGATAAGAGGATTAAGACATTTTGCGCTTTTCGTTTTAGTTTGTTTGACAGATACTTTGCCAAAGCAATGGTGCAAAAAATGCAGTTTTGGGTTTATGATGAAACTGTTGTGGGCCATCACATTAAACAGTAATTCCATTTCCCATACATTAGCTAGCTAGGAAACGGAATTACTGTTTAATATTTCACTGTAAAATAAAATACTTTAAGAAAAATTATTTCATGGTACAACTGTAATTTACTGTTACTGATATTAATGGCTGTCTTAATTTCTTCAAATTCAAGACTGTCAAGCTTTTATTTTGCCAGAAATTTTTTTGCCAGTCGGTTTATTCACCTTATTTTTCAGTGCGGAAGTAAGCTGTTTTCTGTGAATATGTGAGACTTCCGATTCATTAGCCGCTATAGGGAAATAACGAGAAGAATATCAAAGAGCAGTAAACGGTAAAACTGTATGCACTACCATTGTCAATACATTAAAATAATATAGTTAAAAATACCAGTTTGCAGTTTCAAGCAGCATAACGAGCTGTTTTGTACAGCTGAAAATAACTGGAAGGGAATGACAAGGGAAGCCAGACCCATTCAATTTACAAATGGCCATAGCCGTTCTAACTTGAAAAATAAGGTGGATAAGACTCTCGTTTTGGTAAAATAGACTAGTTAATGCATTTTGGTAAGATGTTTGGTAAGATGGTTGATGTATGTTGCATTGCAAATGCATGTTATAGCCTAAACGACACAAATTGGACAGGTCATGAGTTGCTCTTGTGCAATTGAACACAGTGCCGCACTTCACTCTGAAACACGGAGCGTATATTTATTTAATTGAATCACAGATTTTGCGATTGTATAATCACACTGAGCCATATTGCAATTTCAGATTAGTTCGATTAATCGTGTAGCCCTAGCAGATGGTACTAGAGAGAATCTTGTTAGCTCAGGCCATTGTGCTTCTTCTAAAACAACTCAAGCAGCTGAGGTAAGCCTCCTTCCCTGCTGGGGAAAAGCTGCATTAATTGCCTCTTATCCAGCACTTTTTTATTGTCTGGTGTATTTGGAGATCTTTATTTCTTTTTCTATGCGAGAGGGGATAAAAAAATAAAAAACATTGCAAGCGGACACTATTGTATTTGTGGCTGTTTGTGTCTGAGTGAAAGCACACACGTTTCTGCCAGTATAACTTTCAGACAAAGTGTCCCGTTGGATCAGGATAGTTGTCATAGCAGCAGTTTTGTGATTGTGTGTTTTGTTATGTTCCACCTTTTGGTTTTACACGGTAACAAAACACAGGTGTCCTTACAATCAAGCCCTCTGTCATCTCTCCCACACAGACTTGTGGGACAGAAAGAGGCCTCCACCCAAAGCATGATGGGAGGCGACGCTCTAAGTCAAACATCTCCGGTCTATAATCTTTTAATATCCTTCTTTTGTTGTTCATAAACATCAGTACTGTGAAATGACAGCTGGATTGGCCTAATTAGCTAGTTGTCTCTCTCCTATTCAACTAACTTAAGTTTAAAGATATCCTAAAAAAAAAATTACCATCTTCAAATAAAGATCATTAGGGGTTTCTACCCTAAGATGACTCTAAACACAAGTTTGACTCATGCACAATCTATCTTAGTGCTGTTTTCATTGCAAATTTTATCCATTATGTTTTTAAATAGTTCATAAAAATCAAAGTTATAGTAAAGACATTTATAATGTTACAAAACATATCTGTTTTGAATAAATTATTTTAAAGGGGTCATATGATGCGATTTAAATTTTTCCTTTCTCTTTGGAGTGTTACAAGCTCTTGGTGCATAAAGAAGATCTGTAAAGTTGCAAAGACTAAAGTCTCAAATCCAAAGAGATATTCTTTATAAAAGTTCAGATTCAACCACGCCTACCTAAAACAGCTCGTTCTAACACGCCCCCACATGTCTACGTCACTATTGTTCTTTTTAGCAGCATCATATGACCCCTTTAAACTCTCTATTAATCAAAGAATGCTGAAAAAAGTATCAGTTTCCACTAAAATATTAAGCAAAACTGTTTTCTACTTTGATAATAAGAAATGTTTCTCAAGCACCAAATCAGCATATTCGAATGATTTCTGAAGGATCATGTAACCCTGAAGACTTTAGTAATGGAGTTAAAGCAGGAATAAATTACATTTTAAAATGTATTACAATAGAAATGTTTTTATTTTAAATTGTAATAATATTTAAGAAATATTACTCTTTTTACTGTATTTTTGATCAAATAAATACAGCCTTGGTGAGCATAAGAACTTCATAATTATTATAAAATCTTACCGACCCCAAACTTTTGAATGGAATTGTACATTGATCCATTTTACTGTTACTGAAATCTAGCTTTAGGAATAGAAAGATATAAAATTTCTGGCCAATGCCTATAAACTGATAATTAAAAAATAAAAATTAATTAATTCATTAATTAAATAATGTTACCATTTAACACAACCTCTTGTGAACCTTCTCTTTCTGAATATATCATCCATTTTCAGTTCATGTGCACTGCAGTGTGTGTTTTTTTTTTTCTTGCCTGTTTTCTATTTCTGCACACTTTGAACCAGAAACCAAAACCCTGCACCATTTTTAAATTTGCCTTTGTTTGGAATTACTAAATCCTCTAGGTGATTACACTTGTTCTTCCTTTAGTTGGCATCACTACAATAACACCTCCTCCCTATCCCAAAGTGCCCTTACCGCAAAAACATCTCTGAATATGATCAATTCTGATGAACTCTTCCCACATAGTCTTTTCTAATTAGCCCGTCAGTGTAGATATCATACTTTAAGAACACAGTCATTAGCATTAGGCTGTTTGCCAGAGCCGACTGAATCCAGTAAAGTGAGGTAATATAAGGTTGATCAGCACTGTGAACTCTAAAACTCTGCGATTAAAAAAAAGATAGGCCTACCCCTCAACTCTCACATGAGCAGACTTGGCACTGGCAGTGATTGTTTCTTATCTTCTCTCTCTTTGTTCCCGCTGTGTTTTCACACGTCAGCCTATTTAAGGGTGTATCTGAGGTGGTGTAAACAGGCTTGCTGCCGGTGGAAAGGGCTTTTTGCAGCGGTTGTAGCTTCGAACAGAGCCTGTGATTCAGAGGTGGTGTAAGGACCAGGAATGCATCTGAGACTACATGATAACAGAGCATTGTGTGAGTGGCAGGTCTGTTATTTAGGTCTTCAGAGGGTTTTGTTAAGTCTGACACATGATATGCTGTGCTTTGGGGATGCACAAAACGCACTCATGCAGGGAAGCAAACTAGTGCTAAGGAGAAGAATTCCTACCTAGTTCAGCGATACACACATCAAGACATCCACACCCCTGAGATCGGAGTTGTCAGATGTTGCATTATGTGGCTGTTTCAGCATCTGCGTACTAGTGAGTACAGGAAGTAGATGAAGTTACTGAATGTGATTCAGAGCTGCCAGTGTAGACCACTCAAGAACAAATAACTGTTACAAGCCTGTGTTTTTTAGTGAATCAGAAATGTACAGGGTGACAAATGTACTGTAGTTAAATTCACAAACAAATGACTCTTATGACATGTTTCGTTTTAGTGAATCAGAAACATTATGACAAGTGTAGTCTAATTCTTGAACAAATTAATTTTATCAGCTTGTTCTTTTTAGTGAGTAAAAAACATACATTGCAACAAGTGTTGTCAGATTCATCAACAAATGACTCCTAGGCTATTAGCCAATTCTTTTTGGTGAGTCAGAAACATTTTGTGCAACCAATGTTGTCCATTCACAAATAAATGAATCTAATAGGCTGGTTCTTTTTAGTGTATCAGAAGCATGCAATCTGACCAGTGTTGTCCGATTCATTAACAAATTACTCTTATTGAGCTGGTTCTTTTTAGTGAATCAGAAACATTCAACCTGA